CTCCCTTTTTTTTTCGATATTTTCCGTTTTTTTTTTTCTTTTTCTACTTTTCATTTTGGGTTTTTTTTTTTCTCTTTTTCATTTTTTATTTTCCTCTTCTTTTTTTTTTTAACTCACATAATAATGATAGTAATACTAATCATTATAATAGTAATAATAACAAATAATAATAAAAATTAACTAAATTAATTTTAAAATTTGATACTTATTTGATCATTATTTTTTTAGTTTCCGACATTTTTATTTATTCCAAACACCAAGTTTCATACCAATTTCTAACAAAAAAGGTAAAAATAATTTCTTTGTTTTTCTTCACAAATTTCCACTTTTTCATTTTTTCTATTCTTCATATGTTGCTTCCTACCTTCTTATGACGGAATTTAAGGTAAAATTTTCATTTGTTTCCTACTTTCTTTCTCTTGTCGAGATTTAAGACAAATCTTTTCTTTGATCTCTTCTTCTTCTTATTGAGATCTAAGATAAATATTTTCTTCTATGTTTGACATTATTTGGATTTACGGTGAAATTTTTTTTATACAATTCGTCTTATTGAGATTTAAAATAAATATATATATATTTTTTAGTATCTTCTCTTCGATCATATTTAATGCAAACATTTTCTTTACACATTTATTTCTTTATTTTTTTATTTAATATCATTCCTTTCCTTTGCTGGGATATAAAATGAACTTTTCCTTTTCTTTGATTGTTTTTCCCATTTTCTTAGATCTTCAACCTTCTCTTTTTGCTTCTTTTCTCCTCTTGTAGGTCACTTTTTTTTTTTTTTTTTATAATGTTTTCGACCTATTTCTATCTTCCCCTTCTTTAATTTTCCTTTTAACTTTTCCCTTTTCTTTTCATCATTTTTTATCTATATTTTTTTTTATATTTATAATTAACATGCATTTCTTTGTTCATTGTGATTATTTTCTTAAATGTTATTTCTAATTCCTTCATAAAACTACGAGAAGATAGGTTGTGATATTAAAAGATTTTATTAAATTTTCATATTGTTAAAAACTTTTTTGTTAATCCAAAAATTGTACTTTTCATGCCCTTAGCATGGTTATATTTTTTTACTGTCAACATATTCACTGAGTATTTCTAATCATACTCTGAATAGTTTATTAAATAAATTCATTAATGTTATTACAATTGACACTCTCATAAATTCTTCTTAGTAATACATTGATGGGACCTGAATACGATCGTTGCCACGTCAGCAGCCACGTCAGCAGACCCAGTCAGCAGGCCTGGCCAACCAGGACTTGCCACGTGGCAAAACCACGTCGACCGGGGACGGATCACGTTGGCGATCCGCGCGCGCGCGATCGGACGGCCCAGATCAATCGCGCGCACGGACGGCCCAGATTTAATCACACGGACGACCCATATTTAATAAAAAACGGATGGCCTAGATTAAATCAAAATGGACGGCTGAGATCAAAGGGCAAAAGGGTATAAATAAGACCCCCACACCAGACCCCAAACCCTAGCCGCCTGCCCTCGCCAGAGAAGACGAACCAGAAGCCGGCCGCCGCCACCCGCCGCCGCACCGGAGGAATTTTTGACCGCCGATCGAGGTAAATTTCATACCCCCGACTCGTTTTTTCCACGCTAATTTTCCCAGTGGCCAAATCGGAGCCAAAATCCCAGCCAAACGGCCGGAAAACAGGGCCGAAAGCCAGCGGCACCGCCGCGCCCCTTCTCAATTTTTGCCTCCGATGAGGCCCTTCCCGGCCTCCGTTTAATGCAATTTTTATATCACCGTGATCACCATTCTTTTCTCTACAGGTTGATCGGAGCCGATCACCAAAACACGAACTTCACCGGAGAGCCGCGCACCGA